GGGGGGGGGGAAGGAGCATTTTCTAATTGGAAAAGCATAGGATAGAGGGAGATGTTTTTTCTGTTTAATACAAGATACTCTAAAACCTCAAGAGGAAAACATAAATCCTAATGATTTAATTCTCCAGTCATTTACAGTTTACAGTCATGCAGACATGACTTTATGTGGTTCTAAGCTCAGCTGTGGTTGGGAGGCTGTGCTCCAGCCACGACGTGATGGAGGGAAGGAGCAGGGGGTCTGTAGTAGCTCATCCAGAGGACTGGAGGAAAACAGCACTCTTTGGAGGTCTCATCTTTTCTCTCTGTAATGTGAGAAAGCTATGGCTCGTACTGTGTTATGAACCATAGGAAGCTTTGTTAAGAATAGGTGTGGTGGTATTTTATACCTGGAATTAATTTTATTCCATCATTATAGTAACCTTGTCTTACTTTGTTCTGCTACCTCAAGGCTTTGTATGTTAGTTATCATTTGATAGTAAAGCAGCAGCCAGTTCACCTGTTTTCCTGAAACTTTAGGCTTGATAAATATACACTGCGACTTTATTAAAAGTTAACAACATTAATGGTCATGACAAAGAGCCATGCAAAAGCAGACTAGTGAAAATGACAAAGCAAGCAGGGTCAACAAGACCTTCAAGAATCAAGTTTTGAGCCAGAAGCAGAAAGTAGGACCTTTGTTAACTATGTGGCAAAAGAAAGTGAAATATGCCCATAAATCGTTGATAGAGGCAAAACAGTCTGGTGAGCAGGGGCTGTCCTTCAGAGCAGTGTTCCCCAGCGTGGCCCGCTTGGGTGCGTGCAGCAGCAGCAGCTGGAGCAGTGGGAGCATTTCCCAGTAGAGGAGGTGTTCAGCAGCCCAGGCAGGGTGTAAATCTCTCTTTGCAGTGGCATGAATACCACCAGCTGGTAGCATAATCTAGAGACCATTTTCTAGAAGTCTCCGGGTAGAAGTACCTTACGGAAGCAAGAAGTTACACATAAAAAGAAGAGCATTTCCTATGGCTCTGATCACCTGCAAATTCTGAAGAGAAATTAAGATTATTTCACACGGCCATACAAAAGCCAGTAGGCAACTGTTGTACTGGTGACATAGCATGGGAAAGCTATGCCTGTATGGCAGCATTTTTGTATGAGGCAATACAATGATGTGTGCTACCTAGCGTACAGTGCCTGCTTCAAAACGTGTGTTCTTTAAGATAAGCATTTAATTTTAAGTGTGTGCTTATGCAACTTGAGTTTCAACAGTACTGGGAATTCACTGCTCCCATGGACAATATGAGACTGGATACCTAACTGCAAACTAGCCATTTTTCTAGAGGACATTCAGTTTGACAATTATAGCTATTCCCTTCTGAATATTTCTGAATTTTCCCAAGGAATTGAAAGTATAAAGACTAAGTAGCTATACATGGAACACTGTCTTTATAGCATAAATTCATTGTATCGAGTCCTGTGACAATCTTTGCCATTCTTAGATTATCGCTTGCATTAATGGATCATTTTAAAAATGAATTTGTAAATACTTATTTAAATAGAAGTTTGTAGAGAAATCTGATGGTTTAAAATCACTCAGCTTCTCTGGAACACCAATGATATTTTTATCTGCACTGTGTATATACAAAATGAATTACTACACTGGCAGTTAGTATTTGTGTTTCTGTAAGTAACACATATAAGTGAAAAATATAAACCACATCACTCACCAGATAAAGACAAATTTTTAAAGCATGATTTATGGAAACCTTTAATGAGATGGTTTTATTGTAAAAGGTAGATGTTCTCTCACTTTGTGTGAGGAGTGGTGTGGTCTAGCTTTATTTACACGTGACATACACATGCTTTTTCACTTATACAAGAAAATAATCATAATTGCAACAATTGATTTCTCAGTCTGTTTTGCATTAGGCAAACATTTTTGCAAACCATATTGTCTCAGTTTTTCTTGTCTCTAAAATTAGAATAATTCTTATTTAGCAAAAGTAACATTAAAAATTAGTACTTAAATCCCAGTGTTATCTGAAATTATTAGGGCATTACTCCATAATGTGATCATTCTGTCTCAATCCACAGGGAAAAGAAAACTTCCATGCATCATAGCTGTCAGAGCAGATGAAGAAGTCAGTCACTTCTTCCTCCTAATCTCAGACTATGGCTATGTCTATGTTAGTACATCAAATCGGCACAGGGACCATTCTCTGGTCCTAACGCCAAGTGGCCCAAGGAAGCCTGCACCCCTATGCCCAAATTCTGATCTCATGTTATTTTCTGAACTACATTCGGGCATTTTCTCAGAGGTCTAAACCATGCTAAGGGAACATGCTGACCATTAAACCAGTAATTGTGGGATAGACAGTGTTTGAAACATGCTCATCACTCTGCAGTTGTTAGTGAGGATATAAGCAGAAGGAGAAGAAAATACTGAGAGAAACGTTCCTACTGCATGACTTCCCAAACCCCTTCCTCAAGGTAATCTCAGAGAAGAGGGTAGTAGGACACACCCACTGGTATTGTAGATGCTGCCATGACACCACTGTCTTTTCAATGCTGACATTTTTATTTTCAGCTTCTAGAGAGACCTAAAATGCAGACAATCAAATTCTGATACACCTGAAGTGGATTACTGTTATTATTTCATGAGTGAAATGCCTTCCACAGGACTAGCTGTGGAACCAGTTGTGTTCAGAAAGTATACATGTAGTATTTGATCTTGATAAAGATAATCCAAATTATATATCTTGTAGGAAATAGAAGAAAAATAGGAGAAATATTGCAGTGAATTAATGGTCCAATTAGCCTAACTGCTACTTGAATTTAATTAACTATTATATTGCTTGAATATGTTCCATAAATTACTTGCGAACGCATGTGTGCAGAGGAGTGGCACTAATCTGTGTTATTAAGGCATAAAGAAAGATTTATTAGAGGATTTCACAAGATCTATAGTAACCAAAAATGAGATCACATAAGAGAGTAAGTCTTACAAAAATGCCTATCTTTTTAATGAAGTTATTACTGCTGATGCCATGGGGGTTTTTTATTTCTGGTTTCTTGCTTCAGTCCACACTGCGATACTCATGCATCTCTTGAAATGCTTCACTTTTGTGAATAATCTTACATTTTTCCTGGTACTTTGCGGGAACCGAGATGCTCTATTATATTCAAAATTCTGTGCCCTCTGAAGTGCAGGAGAGTTTGACACTGACTCCTGCTGGATGCCTCATAGGTTATGTATCACTGTGCAGAGAAACTGCAATTTAATTAAAAATTATACATTTCATAGCTTAATTGTTAACTTTGCATCCTTTTTTTTCCAAAATACAGAATTTCATTGCAGAGATAATTTGAATACCTTTGTCACATTGAAGAGGGAAAGAATTAATTAAATTCCAGATTGCCAATCAAGTTGAGAACACAATATGGAAATCCCCGTTAAACAGCAGGCAAGTAATGGTGCTCAAATTGTGATAGAGACTAATGTATCTTGCAAATGAAAATGTCATTTCCAATCTGCAACATAATGATATGCTCAGATTTCTCCCTGCCCCCACTCCCACTCTTTTTACTCAAGTCTAAAGTGCACTCTGTAATGCATTATTAAGCTAAATTCTGACCCAGTTTCTTAATTATCTGTAAGCTACGGGGAACTTGTAGCAGAATATTAACTAAGGCAAGAGATGTAAGACAGAAGAATCCACGATGGCATTACAGAGAATCATTAGCATTTTGCTAAGAAAATCCTTCACATTTTAATATTTAACTTAGCCTGACATGTAGAATTTATATTTTAAAGCAGGACAAAGTATACACCAACCAAGCCACCAAAACAACCCAGGAAAAAAAATAAAAAAGGGCGGAAGCATTCCTGGATTCACAAAATCAAAAACCTGTAGCATACTGGCACATTTCTGAGACAACAGGATTTTTTCCAACTGTTCTTACCGGATACCATCAACAGTTGTTACAATCTCATATAACACTATGTGCCGAACGTTTATTTTAGATGAACTATAGAATATAATCTGCTATGGGTTATATATGTGTACCAAAATTTTTGCAGCTACAATTGGGATAAACAACTGTCATACTAAATGACAGTTAGAAAGAATCTTCCAAATACTTTTGTGCCTGGTTAGTATCACGTTAGTGGTTTCAGTTTTATACCTCCCTGCACTGCTGCATATTATTGGACTATGATAAATTTTCATGGGATACCACAGATATACTATATCAGAAACAAAGAACACATGGGCTTCTACCTATAAAGCTGCACATATATGTGATTTTGAAGACTTGCTGTATCGCTGATGTGAAAGTGTTTGAGTGAGTGAAAAACATACTGCAAGAGCAATGTATTTAGTGAGAACAATTTTTAATATAAAACATATTTCAAAATTATTTGAGGAAAAAATACCTTCCCCACCCCATAACTGAAGGATCTGTGGTATGATCATATAGAACGTCAAGCTTTAAGTGTAAAATTTAGACAGCAAAGTCTGCAATATATATTTATAATTTTGTGGACAAGGATGTTATTTATTCAGTTCAAAGATCAAAGAAAACCTATGCAGTCCATTTACCCTTGAGCTGAGGAGTCACCTAACTGCAGAATATGGAATTTGTATATACATTTTTAAAAAAGAATTGTTTCATGAATTCATCAGTGAAGAGGTCCTACTGTTTGAAAAGAGTAAGAGTCAGTTAAATACAATGTTTTATTAGTAATAGTGTCAATTCATGTGGCAAGTCTGTAGTTTGCAAAACATTTGATGATTGGAAAGTGCTAACAAGCTTAATGTACATTCAAGTACACTGCTTCAATCTGAAGTGTACTTTCTCTACTGGAGCATCTGGATGTATCATTGCTAATGCTAACACTGTGAATTTCCCACTTCAACCCACCAAATATTCTAGGAATAAAGGCGTACAAAATTTCTCCAAAGTGATGAACAGCGAGTTTGAGACACCCTTCCTTTACAGATAAGGAAACCCCCCGAATCCACATTTTATACTTGAGCACCTAAACCAGTGTGTAGGCATCTAAAGAAAAAGCCCAGTTTTCAAAGGTAGCTTTTGTAAAAGTACAGCACGTTTTTCCATTTGCATGATTTTTCTTTCTAGACTAATCTGTGTATTCAATCAGGCCCAAACATTCATACCAGAGTATCCTCTACAGAGAGCGGACACCTTTTCTTCATGCAACTGCAGTTCGTCTCTGACTGCAATCAAGCCAGCATGTAGTCAGCTGTCCCTCACCAAGGAGAGAACATCTGTGACAGTATGTGCTCCTGGGACAAAGCTGGACACCAGAGGTATGTTTACCAACGTAAATATGTCATGCAAACTATCTGTGACATCCTGACCCCACAGCGTTTGGTTCTTTCATCTCCTGAAGTGCTTTGATCCAGTGATGGACTGTGAGGAAATCTGCATCACGTCTTAGGTGGGAAACCATTCTGACCGATGCAGACATGGCTGGACAGACAGCCTAAAGGCCTTAACCTTGCCTCCACTGGGCAAAGAAAAGTCCTTAGTGAAAATATGCTGGTATCCATTGTTCACTTAGCATAATCACCAGTGCTATTATTGTTAAATGAAAGAGAGCCTCCCTCCCCTAAAAGCAAAATCATCTATTTAGACACAGCAATGTTCTGCCTCCTTGTGTCATGCCACTCCATGGTCATTGCTATTTCTCTCACAAAAATGTCCAGTAAGGGTTCATTTCCTTCTCAGGACTCTATTTCTTCCATCACTTCCATCACAATTGTTCGAGGGCCTGTCAGGATGAGGTTGCTCACTGTCCTGTAATCCACGTGGAGAACATTGAGGCCATTGACAGATACAACAAACTGGCAAACCTGATGAGAAAAGCAAGCAGCAAAAAACGTTACACATTAGACTTTTTTGGTAAGGTTATTTACACAGATGTACTATCAACTCCTGGGCATGCAAAAGCTCCAGAACTCTTCACATCATCTCATTTAGCACTCTTAAGAAAAGCACATTTCTTAAAATTAATTGGGCAAGTTAATTTTCAGCAAAATTTTTTGAAATATCACTGCAACTTTCAAATTGGGAAGTTTTGAAGTCCTACATCAATAATTTTTCTTATAATGATTATATTTTTCTTATAACAATTATATTTTTCTTATAACTGATATTTTCTGATATCAGTGGTGCTTTGCAAACAATATGGGACAAGACAGCTCTGGCTATTGCTGTTATCCTTAGTTTGTCTTAAACACTTCATAGAAACCATTTTGAACGACTCTTGATAGTCATTGTGAAAATACGCATAACGTTTCCAGGCTCAGGGCAAGGTCTCGATGGTTACTTCACTAGATCTAGTGTCAAAACCTCCACCGGTACAAAACGAACCCAAAGGTTCCAAATTCTAAGAAATAACATCACGGAAGATGAAGTCAGTATTAGGATGGATTAAAATGTCACTGCCATTTTCAGGAGATACTCCTACACAGATTTAATTCTTTTTACTTTTTATGTGAACAGTTTTTGGCTTTCTTCATCAAGTAAATGAACTCTCATTAATTAATTTCAAATATGCTAATATTTTGTTTTTAAAAGCCACGACAAATTCAAACATTGAAAGTCTTGTATCATCAGAGGCTGTTTTCTGTCCCAAAAGTCTTGATAGAAATATTCTGACCAACACCACTGTATATCTTAAAAGAGTTAATTGGAGAAAAAGTCACATCAACATTGTAAAAAACTGAGGAGGAAAAGAAAGATAACAATATTGATTTCTCAAAAACATTAAGCCTTCTCTGTATCTAATCATAATATTACAGTATTTGGTAAAAAGGCCAAAAATGTGTAGTATCTAGATCTGTGTTTTTAATGATAAAAATATGTGGCCTAAAGCAATAATAATATCATCCTGATGTTTCAATGAAAACAATACATTCACTAGAAGGTTATGTCACTCATAAGTCATCTTGAGTCTGTAAGAAAAAAGCTACGAAGCAAGTATCACTAGAAATTTTCATGCTTTATTTTATATTTTTACCTTTCTTATTTAAGCAGAAACACAACACAGAAACATATGCAGGAGAGGTGGGAAGCAGCTCTGGTGTCTTCCAGTGCTAGCTCTAAAACAGATTTTCTCCCAAGCCAAGTCATTTAACTTCTGTGCATCAGCTACCTTCCCTCTCAAGTAAAACGTGCAGTGAAACTCAATTCGTATTTGTGCAAAATGTACAGAATGTAGCTATCAATGTTCCATTTAAGGAAAATTATAGAGGAAGCAAAGCCAATCCAAAAATGTAACATTTCATCAAAAACGCCACTGATGATTTTAATCTCTGCTCCTTAGAGCCTCTACACAGGAAGAGCGGCAGCAGCAGTCCCTGAAGGGAGGGCAAACTTCTCCCTTGCATCTGCCCCTTACCCTCAGAACTCCTCTGCAGAGCTGAAGATCCTGGATGGCCTTACTGATCACCAGATTCAGTAGTCTAAATGGTCACCAAAGTATGGCAATCGGCAATACCACTTAGCCAACTTCCACGGCAGTATGGATGTATCTTTCCTATACATTCATAGGCTATATTTAAGCTACAAGTAGCATTGGGAAAATGGTCCCATTTTTTGCATGCAGACAAAGCCTTCTAAATTTTAAGGATTTTGGTTGAAAAAGTAACCCATCATCCTCTGCAGTGTACCTCAGTATTTAAGAGGCATGTCTATTTAGTTTAAAATGCAGATTACTGCAGTATCTGTAAGTCTCTTAACTTCCAGCAGTATTTCCTAATGCTTTCTATGGCTTTCCAAGATTGTATCAAGTTTTACTGAATTACAGCTCTGGCTCCAGAGTAATATTTTAGTTGATTTAAAACAGACCTGCAGAAATAACATTGTCCCTTCTGGCTTAATGCAATTTTTGGAAGTTGACTGGCTGATGTTTGTTTTACTGCTGCATATTCTCAGACTTCTCAAGTTACTGGAATCCCAATGCATGGGACTCATGTTTGGCCAGGAACAGGCATGCAAGCATGTGATGGATAAATCTGCATGCTGGATCATGTCAGGGGCATTCCAGGGCCTTCAGGGAACATCCCTGCCAGAGGAACAGACTTTCCAGACCAGCCAGCCACTCACACCAGGGATGCAATGGTGTAAATGTGAATGGTACAGGCACCGCAATAGTGAACAGCAATCTGGATGTCAAAGAGTGAATTTCTTACACAAAAGACAAGAACTGACACGTCTGCATTCTCAATGTGTTTGGTTTAATATATGCCCTTGGCAGTATTATTAATCGGCAACGCATACAGACTGAGAAGAGTCCCCTTCATGCCATCCTTTGGACTGTATCCAAATGGTTTATTAGTCATTCCAATATTCCAATATCCATTTCCATTCCATATCCATTATCCCTTCCATCCAAGCCATCCAAATGGCTTATTAGTCATTCCAGTATTCCAATATTCCGACATCCATTTCCAGTGGATAGGATTAGATGCAAAAAGCCCACCCAAGACAGATTAAAAGAGAAGTGTACAGAGGACAAGGCACAGAAGAGTGTGCTTCTGTCCAAAAATTTCATGAAAAGAACAATGAGGAACAGGAGATGATAACAAACAACCAGTGACACTGAGGGTAGAAAGCTCTGTCCATGGCTCCTAGGGCTGAGTTTCTGCAAATTCCAGATCCAGCTCCCTCAAGAATAAAGAAATGTGGAGTCATTTGCTGTGTCCTCCACTCCTGAGAGCGGAGAGAGGATTGCACAGTCCTGACCCCTTCACTATGCTGAGTGTCCTCGACTCACCCAGTTTTCTCCTCCCTACTGCCGTTTTCCATCCAGTGTTGCATCCAGCAAAGGGAAATGAAATGCAGCACCGCTTCATGCATTTTGGCCACCATCAATCCTGCCCCCCAAAAGCCCACATCATGCGTTGCTCTCTTGGTGGAGTTACAAAACGAGTGAGAGCAAGCGAGTACTCACAAACCAGCCCTGACTGAGCATATCAACCCACATATTATTATCTCAGGAATTTTCTTAAAGAGACTGGTTTACAAAATTGCGATGATTTAATGTTACATTTATAAAAACACATTTCAAAAAGCTGTAAGTGCTCAGCTCATAGCTATAGCTGTTGAGGGCTTTGTAACTATAAACATGTAAATTTCTCTGTTGGTTTCCACACATCAGTAACTATAATAGATAATAAACTACAGTTAAAAGAGCCTCAAAGAGCCTTTTATTGCTCATTTCCTCATAGCTCTCCAAGGAGCCTGACAGGAGATAAGCATCCATTTTTATCCCTCAGACTTCAAGAAATGACAAAGCCCAGAATAAATTCCAACCATTTTGTTGGTCAGGATGTGGTGATCTAAAAACCACACAAACTATAACAGTTAAAGTAACACTGAAATGAAAATATTCCTTAATTAATTTCAAATATTTAAATGTTACTGTAATAAACAATTATTGTTAAGTATTTCAATTTCCCACCTTGGCATACAGCATCTCAGAGAAGAAGGGATAGCAGAAAAGGCACCTCTGTCTTTCTGTGTTTTTTCACCGGCACATACAGACAGTTTAACTAAATCCAGGTGTTCCCAGGAAAGGAAAACTTCAACTTTGGGCTTATATTTGAGCAAAAAGAATCGAGGAACCTATCACTTCAAGAAGTTAACAAAGATTTGTCATGCCATTTATCATCAAAATGAAGATGGTGAGAAGATGAATTATAATTAATTTAATGGCCAAAATCAAGATTGTGCTGCACTTGGATCTGTACAACCCTTCCTCCCCGTCACTGGGTATTTCTCTTCCCTCCATGGCAAGCCTTGGCTGCCTGCCCCTCCTTGGTTTTTCCAAGCTGCCCTGGAGTTGTACATCCACACCCTTTGATTTTCCTGCTGGGAGAATTGTCTGCTGGGCAAACCAAAGCCCCACTCCCTCACAAGGGGCTGCCTGCACCAGGGCTGGATTCATGAGCCTGTGCTGGTCAGGAGCTGTGGTCAGAATGACTGGAGGATGCTCCCAAGGGATGTCAAAGACCAGCTGTAGGCATCGATGTGGAATTGCACAACTACCTTAAAGAAAATTATTGAATAAAAATATTGCATACCTATCACTAATTCTTAGCGTTCTGCCTCAGGATGACCTTAATATTTATGAATCCTACAGGAATATTTTTGAGGACAGGCAGTTAGCCTAGATCCTCAGATCTTCAGATGCTGTTTGTGCTATAGCCTTTAGTCATCTGTCCTTGCAAAGCCAGGCCTTGCTTGCTGGACTTTTAAAAATTTTATCTATATATTTAAATACTTTAAAATTTTCCTTTTTTTTTTTTCTCTAGACACACTTTTTAGAAGGGTGCTGAGAAAGATCATGAAGAGCTGGAAATTCCCATCACAGAATTCAACTTAAGTGATGATTGCAAAGTTCTTTGGGACAGCCCTAAAAAAAGCATTTAAATTTACAGATGTAGTGAGTACAATCATTCATCACTGGTCATGAGACAACTAACAGCCACGCAGAGTTAACAGATAAAATATCTTAAAACAGTCATATAAGACCATGATTACACAGTCACTTTAACTTGACATAACATTTTAAAAAAGCTTGAGATGAAGAGGAACACAAACGCCTGCACCAGCATACAGGAGGCAGCATGGCTGGAGGTGGCTGGGGGACCGCCCTTCTCCACAGTAGCACATGTGTGCGCCCCAATTTCAGTGGCCATGGGTTAAGGCTCTAATTCTCAGTGCATTTATCATTTATATTTCGGTGTCAGGGTCAGTGTCCAGAATCCACTCTGGGATTTCTTTGCTAACTTCTCTTTAAGACTGTATAAACACTATTACTAATACAGATCAAATAGTTACCAAA